ATACAATTAGATATTATATATAAATAAAATAAAATACAATGAAAGGAAACAAAAAATAAGAAAAAATATATATAAAAATAAAATTGAAAAAGAATTGAAAAAATAAGAAAATAACTGAAAAAATAATACTAAAAGAATAAAGAATAAAAATACAAAGATTGCTATATACTGTTTTCCCCAAGGGTTGAAGCTTTGGAGCCCTCCATGATCGGTAAACTTGGTGTGAACGAGTTCTTCGAGCTGGTCTTCTGGGGGAGGGGCCTGTTGTACTGATTCTCAGGTGGACTTGCCCTAGTGGACAGGAGCCTCCACGGTGCAGGGTGGCCGCGCTCGGTGTAAGCGGCTCTGGACTCCACTAGATGGTGCTGTTTTGCTCCCTGAAAGCTTTCAGCACTGATGGGTGGGGCGAATATGCTGTGCCCTGCTCTCTAGACACGCTCCTGAAAATTTGCACCCACCACTCTTCATTGAACCTTCACAGAAGAGCAATCAAGCACTCTTGACTCCCCAGTTTCCTCCAGAACTCTGTGTTCACCCAGACTGTGGCCTAGCGTTTTTATCTCGGCCATGCAACTGAGTTTCAAAACTCCAAATTTTAAGGACTTCTGCTGTTCCTCCCGGGGTGGGTCTTTCAACCCTTCTGCCTTTTGCCAGACCCCTCCCGAGAAAGCTGACACATGACCCTGCGGCTGTTCGCAGGTTATGGCAACACAGAGCAGATAGCTGGCGCCTACATTCACTGTTAGCTGGTTTCTCTGCTCGGATGCCTGGGAACTTGGCTGCACTCAGGCACCACCTGATCTTCTTGAGATCCCACGGATCCTCAGACCACCCTGTCACACCTGGGATTCCACCCTGCTTGCCATCTGAGCACATTTAAGCCAGGCACGTCCCCCACTGTAGCAGACTTCTAAAAGTTCTGATTTTGCACTGTGCGGCTTATTCTACTTTAGGGTAGCCTCCTTAAGCAGGCTCCCTCCCCTCCGCCTAGCCTCAGCTACGTCACACTAGATTCAAGTCTCAGCACCTCCTACCTTCCAAACAGTGGTTGTTTTTCTACTTGCAGAATTTCAGTGTTTGTTTTCTCATGAGGATCTCTGATTGATTCCTCGGGTGTTCAGAATGATTTGACAACTATCTAGTTGTATTCGAGGAACCAGACAAACTTAGGGTCCCCCTAACTCTTCTACCTCCTAACTCCCGCTGCTCGTGTATTTCTGATAGCGCAGGTCTCCTGGCAATGGCTTGCCATGGCTAATTATTTTACTTTTCTTATTTATGAAAATGTGCTTATTTTGCTTTTTTTTTCCTTGAAGGATTTTTTTCACTAGACATAATATTTTGAGTTCAGAATGTTTTATTTTCATATTTAAAAACTGTTTTCCATTATCTTCCAGCCTCCATATCTGCCAATAAGAAGTCAGCCTTCATTGAAATTATTGTTCCACTGTATGTAACGCATCATTTTTTTTTTTATGGCTGTTTTCAAGAGTCTCATTATCTTTAGTTTCTGGTAGTTTGTATATATTTTCTTTGTATTTATCTTGCATGGACTTTATTAATTTTCTAGATCCTATATAGTTATAAGTCAGTCATCAAATTTGAGGAATTGATGGTCTTGCTTCTTCAAGTATTTTTTTTCCCATATTCTCTTTCTCCTTTCCTTCTCAGACTCCATGTACATATTTCCTTTTCCTATTGTCCAACCATTCCCACAAACTCATTTTATAATTTTTTCTTTTTTATTTAAATTGGATTTTTTCCATTCTTTATTTCCATTATTTTCATTTATTTTTATGCTCACTGTCTTTTGTCAATTCCATCTGTTTTAAGTCTCCCCAGTGAAGATTTTTTTTTCAGATACTGAACTGTAAGTTCTAGAATTTCTTTTATGGTTTCTATTTTTCTATTCAAGTCATATTTTTATTCATTGAGAGTGTTTTTTTTTTATTTTGTTCTTTAGAATAGCTATAAAGCTTGTTTAAAATACTTGTATATTCTGATATCTGGATAATCTCACACTCAGTTGATTTTCTTTCTCTTGAGAATGGGTCTGGATTACATTCTTCTAGTTATTTGTATATCACATAATTTACTCACCTGACAACTAAGAAATGCTTTCTGGAATTTCCAATCCTACTCTTTTTTTTTTTTTTTTTTAACTTTCTTTACATCTTAGAGGAGAGTAGTAAGCTAAGGATAGCAAAGCTTCTCAAATACTACATTGCTGTTCAAGCAACTTGTTTAGAAATATGTGCCACAAATTAGTTTGGGAAAGAAATTCTCAGAAACTGAGCAAGAATATCCAAGTTTAAAATACTGTTACAGGGGCATCTGGGTGGCTCAGTCAGTTAAGCATCTGGCTCTTGATTTTGACTCAGGTCATGATCTCAGGGTTGTGAGACTGAGCCCCATGGCAGGCTCTGCACTCAGTAGGGAGTCGGCTTGAGATTCTCTCTCCCTCTTCCTCTGCTCCCCCCCATGCTCCTTCTCTCTCAAATAATTAAATAAAATCTTTAAATAAAATACTGTTTCCTATTCTCTAAATAAAACATTTTTTATGTATTTTATCATTCTAAAATTTTAAGAGTTCCCTTTCAAGAGTTCCCCCTCAGAATTGAGGAGGAGAAATGAAACTTCTACCTGCCTTTCTCCTATCAGCTGTTTTAATAGATAGTGTGAGTTATAAGTTTTTACTTTTTTATTCAACCCCGTCAATCTTTTAGTATAAATTCATTATAAATTCTGATACTGTCTTAATTTTTCATTTTATTTTTTAATTCCTGGTATTTGTCATGATTTTAAAATGTTGGCCACTATTTTTTTGAATCACTTTATTGAGATATAATTCACATATCATACAATTCACTCATTTAAAATGTATTGTGCATTCAATGTTTTTTGGTATAATCACAGAGTTGTATAATAATCACCACAATCAATTTTAGAACATTTACCTCTGTTAGCTATCCGCCCCTGCCTCCCTCCTCCAGCCTTAAGCAACTACTGATTTACCTTCTGTCCCTATATAATTGTCTATTCTGGACGTATCCTATAAATGGAATCACATAATATGTAGTCTTTTTTGCCTGGCTTTTCTCACTTAACATAGTTTCTGAGGTTCATCCATGTTGTGGCAGGTAATAGTATTTTATTCCTTTGTTATAACCAAATAATATTATATAATATATATGTTTTGTGTATATCGATAAGCATCTGGGTTGTTTCTACTTTGGTTATTATGAATAATTCTGCTATGAACATTCATATACAATGCTTGTGTGAACATGTGTTTTTATTTCTTTTGGTATATATCTAGGAATAGATTACTGAGTCTATAATAACTCTATGTTTAACCTTTCAAACAACTTCCAGATTTTTTCCAAATTGGGTGTACCTCTTTACATTCCCATCAGCAGCATATGTGGATTCCAATTTGTCCATATTCTTATTAATACTTGTTACTATCTGACAGATTTTGATTTACACTTGCTTAATGATTCATGATGTTAAGTATCTTTTCATGTGCTTATTGGCCATTCATACATATTTTTTTTGAGAAATGTCTATTTAGATCTTTTGCTCATTATAAAATTGGGCTGTCTTCCTATTTTGAGTTGTAAGAGTTCTTTAATTCTAGATATGAGTCCCTTATCAGATATATAATTTGCAACTATTTTCTTCTATTATATCTGCTGTGCTTTCATTTTCTTAGTCATTTGAAGCATTAAGGTTTTTAATCTTGGTGAAGTCCAATTTGTCCTTTTTTTCTTATGTTTTGATGTCATATTGAAGGATCTATTGCTATATCCATAGTCAAGAAGATTTTAAGCCTTAATTTTTACCTGTATTTGTCAGCATATTCATAGATACTTTAAAAAAAAAGAAAGAAAGAAAACCTGTTGACCAAAAAATATTTTAACTATGAAATGCTACTTAAAATACAGGAACATGCAAAGTATATTTCTAAAAGTTTCCTGTTCAGTATTTCCCTGAACTATGGTATATCAAAAAATAATGGAGTTTTTTCCCAAAATCAGTTTCATGACCTACAGGGTCTTTACTCTCTCATCTTCACTTTCTTGGTTTCTCATCACAGTTCTTGATAACTCTCATCTAACTGTAAAAGTAATATAATTCAAAATAAAAAATTATAAAATACAGGAAGTATAAAAATTTGCAAGTATTCTAATTTCTTAAGCCTATTAACCTCAAACCACATAGAATTATTACAGCCATACTTCGTATTTCCTCTCAGTATTCTTTAAGTATTTATATATCTAGATAATACTATAAATACAATATTGTAACCTCCTAATTTTCACTTATAACTATAGTTACCTTTGTGTATGTTTATATCGCCTCTTGACTATACTAGTAGTTCTGTACTAGGATTTGTAAATATTTTAGTCTTCTCCTCATTTGAGGAAGATGGTATATTTGTGCCTTTAAGCATTATTTAGTATTTGATGAATAATTAGGCTCCCATTAGAGGACTTATTAATACTTACTAATGCTTGCTACAAGCATAAGAGGTGATAGTTTTTGTATTTTTATGATGTAATAGATAGATATTACATTAACAACTTTATTTCAGAGGAAGTAAAGTTGACTCAGAAAGCCTTGAAGTTATCTCATAAATTTTAGACAACTGGAAGAGGTTAGTTGGAATTAAGTACTGAGTTGAGGCCCATGCTCACTTTCTGTGGGTACTATATGTATAGGAGACCTAGTGCTATGATTTGCCAGGTAGAATGTAGTCCACCTAATGAGTGAAGCACTGCTCTCAGCTTACAAATTTGTGGACCTCTGAAAATCCAAGTTCAAAATAAAACTGAGATACACAACACTTGAAAGAATAAAGAAAATAAGTATAGAATTGACTACATAATGCATACTTATACATGTAGGATTACTTTTTTTTTAAGATTTTTTTATTTATTTGAGAGAGAGAGGGAGAGTGAGTGAGAGAGAGCACAAGGAGGGTAAAGGGCAGATGAAGAAGCAGACTCCCCGCCAAGCAGGGAGCCTGATGTGGGACTTGATCCTGGGACTCTGGCATCATAACCTGAGCCGAAGGCAGACACTTAACGACTGAACCACCCAAGCACCCCATGTAGGATTACTTTTAAAGTTATATTCAGCAAAACTATGCTGGTTTCATTCACACGTGGGAAATTCAAATTTCCCTTCGTGACAGAGTACCCGAAATGACTGCATTGATGTCTTTGCTTTATATGGCCATTTACAGTCAAATTCCACAAAATCCCCCGTTTTCACATAAAGTTTTTTGATTTCTTTACTTCTTAACTGTATGTTATTTTTGTTCATGTTACCTTCAGAAATTATACAAGCATCTGAAAGAAGAAATAATAAAAAATAAATTATTAATAATATAACTTTTCCTTTCCAAGAATAGTGAAATTTCATCTAAGAATATTTTGGAATTAAATAAAATTATGAAAGAATATTAAAAGCTAATATTTATTGAGTTTGCCAGGTACTGTTCTTAGTACTTTGTATGCATTTTCTCTAAATACTGCCCATCATTTCCCTGGGCTACATAAGAGGAGATGGGGGTTCAGAGAGATTGAGTAATTTTTCCAAGGTCACATAATTTAGTGAGTATTTTGAGCCAGAATATGGACCCTGGCAGTTTGACTTCAGAGCCTATGCTCTTAATTACTATGCATTATATACCTATAATACCAAATCGGATTAAATTAAAATGTTCTATTAGGGTCAATGTTATTCACCTTCCTTTCCCAACTCAGGATCCTCTTTTACATTGTTTCCAAAATGTGCACAGTGTGAGCACATGAATATATTAACTTCTTACTAAATATTATAGTAAAAATAAGTTTATTTCCATCTATCAGATATATAGTACAGAAAGTGGGCTGAAGAAGACAACAATATATATAAAAACCAACCATCTCTTTAAGTATTCACTTAGCATATTCTTGAAGGTAACTATAAATGAGACCAAAAATTCTACTAGCTATTATATTGCTTGTTTAGAGCTCCTTTTCTACAAAATAATTATTGATGGTTCGTAACTTTTGTGAAACCTTGATTTCTGTATAAAAGCAGTGTTACTTCCCCTCCCCCCATGATCAGAGTCCACTCATTCTTTTTTAAATTCAGCATTGTGAGAGGTAACATTTCCCTGAGTAAATAGCACACCCTGGCACTACTAAGCAGTATGTTCTCTACAGCCCATAATCTCTGATAATAGGAATTATTCAAAGTTGCTGAAATAAGCCCAAGGTTAAATTTAAGGAGCCATCCTAGGCAGTGGTAACCATAAGGAACTTCTTTTAATACCTAGATTTGTCCAAGCCCAGGAGATTGTAAGATATATTACTGAGTGTTTTCCTGATAACATATGATAGACTAGTCCTTGTACTGTTAAGGAGAAGTTGACCTTTTTTCTCCCTGACTTTTCTGTAGACATGAGAGGCCACCAGAGGATATGGCTTAAATACATGAAATTTGGAACCAGATTGCTGTGTCTGAATCCTAACTCCACCAAATACTCGTCAAGTAGCTTGATCAATGTCAGACAGGTTTTCAGCTGAATTCAATTAAATAAAAGTCATCCTATGAAATTAGTCCATGAAAATTTTACTATGAATATCAAATCTCAGACTCCAGGAGAATATGAAGAACTCACCTATGCATTTTGGTGGTTCTGACCACTGTCCATTTCTGCATATTACATCTATGGAGCCCCGAAGCTCATAGAAAGACTGGCAACGGTACTGGACTGTTGATCCTGGAGGATATACTGATAATGGGAATGATGTGATATCTCCATTGCTAATAGATGGAGGGGGACCACAATATTGTGTAGACTCTGGAAAATAAATAACATGTATGTGTTGAGAGAAAACCAACATGTAGTTTAAGTGAAGTAGTATAAATAAATCTCCTTATATTATATCTTCAATGTCTTACATGATGTCTGAGAGCTCAAGTAACTCATTGTATAATTTCTATAATATAACCTGATAACCAAAAAAATATTATAGTGCTTCCTTTTACCCTAAAGTAAAATACTCTTAAGTATTAAGTGTATATGTATTATAAGGGCATGCAAGTATAAGTATTAAGAATAGGTTTTTTTTTTTTTAAGATTTTACTTATTTATTTATTTAACTGACAGAGAGAGAGGGAACACAAGCAGGGGGAGTGGGAGAGGGAGGAGCAGGCTTCCCGCCAAACAGGGAGCCCGATGCAGGGCTCCATCCCAGGATCATGACCTGAGCCGAAGGCAGATTCTTAACCGACTGAGCCACCCAGGCGCCCCAAGAATAGTTTTTATTTAAAGCATGATGAAGAGATAAGTAAATCTTATCTGGTCTACTGCCTACCATCTTCATAAAAATTTTTATTTAAAGAGGAAAGGTAAAAATAAATAACTCCCTTTCCATTTCTATTCTCTGGGACTACTGTTATTTTATGCAAATAGCATGTGCCTATCAGTACATGATCATAAACTCTTAGTTTTACTGAAATGAATTATTGACATACTACTTTCCATTTATTTTTCTGATTCCAAATAATAGCATCTTTCTCTGTCAATAAATGTTTCAACTTCATGTTAAGAATGGCTGGGATAGGGATGGCTGGGTGGCTCAGTCGGTTAAGTGTCTGTCTTCAGCTCAGGTCATGATGCCAGAGTCCATATTGGGCTCCCTGTTCAGTGGAGAGTCTGCTTCTCTTTCTGCCCCTCACCCCACTCTCATGTTCTCTCTCACTCTCTCTCTCTCTCTTTTAAATAAATAAAATCTTTAAAAAATATGAAAAAAGAATGGCTGGGATACAGGGGCACCTGGGTGGCTCAGTTGGTTAAGTGCCTGACTCCTGATTTCTGCTCAGGTCATGATCTCAGGGTCGTGAGATTGAGCCCCACATTGGGCTCCATGCTCAATGAGGAGTCTGCCAGAGATTCTCTCTCCCTCTCCCTCTGCCCCTTCCTCTGCTCTCTCTCTCAAATAAATAAATAAATCTAAAAAAAAAAAAAAGGAATGGCTGGGATACATTCCATTGTACTGATTTGTCTTCCCATATTCACTAAAGATATAGATAAGAAATGGCCAAATAAATACTCTTATCCCAAATAACTTCTCCTACCTCTTGTTTTATTGAGTTACTATTCCTGCATTTTTCTCAGACTAACTCTTTCATGTGGGCACAAGATTCCTTCCCCTTTAAATTCAGCAAAAACCCTACTCCATGAATTGTCCCCTTTTGTCTGTATCATCAATTTCTCCTTACCTGCCAAATCATTCATCAACATACAAACATGCTGAAAATGTCACAACAGAGTAAGGTAAAATTTCCATTTATCCATACCCCCTGTCTAGCTACTGCCTCATTTCCCTATTCCCATTAGAGCAAAACTACTTGTTTCCTAACCTCCCTGATCTGACTTTATAACCCCACATTCTCTCTTGAACACACTGCAATTAAGTATTCCCCCCTGCTGAAGTACCTCTAAGCAAAGTTACCAATTACTTCAGGTAGCTAAATTCATTGTTCAACTATCACTCATTTTGTCTAGCTCTAGGCAGTCTTTGACATGTTCGCTGTCCTGTTGAACGACATTTTGCAATATGTCCTTGGCATTGCTTCTGGGACACCAGCTCTGGTAATGTGATTTATGATAAATATTTGGTCTTTCTCCCCATTGCTGGCACAGAGATCCTAAAACCCTTGGGATTTCCTAAGTGATGAGAGTAGTACATGTGTCTTTTGTTATGTAATGAGATAAATTTTGGAAAACCCATAGGTAACCTGAGGATAGGCTGGTTGCTAGGAGGACTAACCATGTGATTAGAGGGTGGAACTTTCAGTCTCATCCTGACGTGCAGGGAGGGGAGAGGGGCTGGAGGTTTGAATCAATCACCAATGGCCAAAGGTTTAATCAATCATGCCTATGTAATGAAGCCTCCATAAAACCCCAAAAGGACAAGGTTCTGAGAGTTTCTGAGTTGGTGAACTTTTGGAGATGTTGGTAAAGTGTGGGCTGGAGAGAGCATGGAAGCTCTGTGCCCTTTCCCCATACCTTGCCCTATACATCTCTTCCATTTGGCTGTTCTTGAGTTAAATCCTTTTACAATAAACCCGTAATCTAGTAAATAAAATATTTCTCTGAGTTCTGTGAGCTGCTTTAGCAAATTAATCAAACCCAAGGAGGGGGTTTGTGGGAACCTCCAATGTATACCCAGTCAGTCAGAAGCACAGATGACAACCTAGACATGCGACTGGCCTCTGAAGTGGGGGTGCAAGGAGTAGTCTTCTAAGACTGTGTTCTTAACCCATGGAGTCTGATGCTGTCTCTGGGTAGATGAGATAGTCTCTGAATCTAGGTGAATTGTAGGACACCCAGCAGGTGTCCTAGACTTGCTTGTTGGATGTGGGGGAATCCCCCTACAGACGCACACACACACACACACACACACACACACAATGTAATTGTGTCCTTGAATCATTTTATCAGCCTTCACTAGTTTTCTTCCACAACCCTGTGTGCTCCTCATTTCCCAGATCTCTAATAATGGAGAGTCTCCAAGGCTGTCCCTTTGACTTCCTCTCTTATTTAGCCATTTGAATTCTCTATCTGGTCCCATCCAGTTCTATAGCTTTAGATATCATCTGTATACTAGCAGTTGCCAAATTTACATCCTAGCCCTGACCATTTCCAAATTGCCCATTATACGTCTTAAGCTGCATATCAAGTAAATATACTTAATGGAAGTGGGTATCTCAAGTATAAACTTATTTCTTCTGTGGCCACTGTTGGAAGTACCCCATAGAGAAACAATTTTTAAAAGTGAGAGAATTGGGTAACTAGATGACAATTTAATGCTTTAGAATACAGTGCAATAGATAAATCATAAGTTCTTTTTCCTGTTCTTTAGATAAAGCAAAGGAGATTAGTAAACACTTTTTTGTAGCACTATTTAGAAAAAAACTACTAACCAAAACACTGTGGTAATGACTGCCATTGTCCATTTTTACACACAATTTCTCTTGGTCCGTGAAGTAGATAATTTTCTTTGCAGAGAACAGCTACTTTTGCTTTATCCCAATAATTCACTGTGGTTAGCATATTCTGAGCATTAGGTATCTGAGGTGGAGGTGGGCAGAATTCTCTCCGTTTTTCTAAAAAAGTTTGGAATTAAATTATTTCAATAACAAAAGCTAAGGAAAAGCAGCTCCACAAGATAGTGCTGTTATAATTTCAGTATAGTGGAACATCAAATAACTAGTAACTCCTTCTCTGTGTGTGTGTGTGGGGGGGGGTGTGTGTGTGTGTACATATGATGCTATAGTAACAAATATACTTTATCTTAACCTAGTTTATGGTTTGCAAAGCACTTTCATGTTATAACCACTGGGTTAAAATTTGTATTTAAATAAAAATATTTGAACACCTAACAAAAATTAATAAATGACACTACAAAATTCCTCAACAAAGAGGAAATGAGACACTGAAGTAGAAAAATTTCTGCATAATAAACTGCCCCATTTATCTGCTGAATGTGCCTGGTCTTCTTTTCATGTGCTACCCATAGCTTGTCCTCTAGCCTGCGAATCAGACTTCACTAACTGAAAATGTACAATAACAGTAATATCAGGCTAATTTTTTTTTTTTAAGATTTACTTATTTATTTGAGAGAGAGAGAGCACAAGTGGGAGGGGCAGAGTGAAAGGGAGAATCCCAAGCTGACTGTGCTGAGCGTGGAGCAATAAAATAATTAATAAAATAAATAATTCCATTCTCTTTTTCCCAAGATTTTTTTGTGTACATTTTGCCAAGATGAAGAACCTGACCAAGAAATACTGTATGGAAAGGGGACTCAGGACTCCAAAGAGAACTCAAGGGGAAGAGAGGTGTGCAACCTGAAGTCATCTCAACACTGAGGGTGGGGTAGACAGACTTCCTGGATGCTTTATTTAGATTTTCTTGCCCTAACATCAGATGTTAGCAGGACACTTGGAAAAGATTGACACATGTTTTTTTGTTTCTGAGCTCTTAGAAATTTTAACAGTCATGCCGGCCTTCATTCCACCTATAAATATCCTTTAAAAACTCTATTTTATTTACGTTTAAGTTTCTGATGGCTATCTCACCCTCTCACCATTCTAGGAAGGATGAAAGCAGCAACGTGACTTTCTTTTTTCCTTGGAGAGAAATTTCTGGAATTTCATTTATTGGTTTCTTAGCTCTCTGATGGACTGTTTTTTTTTAATACTGTAATTTTATAGTTTATCTTGATTTTTCTTGTTTTCAGGGTATAAGTAACATTACCTTCTTCCTTTTCTTAATAAAAGAAACTAAATTCTATAGCCATAGTAAAGTTACTCTTGTGGCCCAGCTTGTTTCATCATTTTTCCTTTTATCCTACCACATAAGTGTAATTTCCAGTTTTTATTTTCTACTCTACACATATACATATGAATCCACAATTAATATATTATTAGTGTCTGTGAATTTATTTTTTTAGCATTTATAAGGGCTATGCTATAGCATATTGTAAGGCAACTTGCTTTTTTCATGAACTATGAAGTTTTAAGACCCATATATGTTTGGATATATAGTACAGAGCATTAAAAGAATATTCTTATTTCCTTTGCCTAGTCTTCCAAATTCAATTATACCAAGATGTAAAGTGAGATGATAGGGGCGCCCAGATGGCTCAATCAGTTGGGTGGCTGACTCTTGATTTCAGCTCAGGTCATGATCTCAGGGTCCTGATATGGAGCCCCCTGTCAGGCTCTGCTCAGCACAGAGTCTGCATGGGATTCTCTCTCTCTCCTTCTGCTCCCCCTCCCCCATCCCTTCTTGTGCTCTCTCTCTCCAAAAATAACATAACATAACATAAAATATAAAAAAGTAACATGATAAACAACTTTTATAACACATGCCAAGAGATTATAAAATATACTCTGCCACTTTTAAACTAGTATTACAGACATGAGAAGCTAAAGAAATGAGTTTTAAAGAGCCAGTAGTGAAGGTTTCTTTAAAAAGTGCTGTCTGTATGTTATATCATGGGAGAGAGAAGGGAAAACTCCCATTGAACTTAAGCCAAGTGTAAGTAGAAAGCTTCTAAACAATTGTTTTTCCTATAGAATTAATGGTACAGGGAATAGTCTCCGACCCACATAAAATTTAAGATGAACAGAAGTGGTCTGTCTGGTAAAACTCCTAAAGACATAGCTGCACTGGTGATCCTCTCCATTTCCGAATCTCAGTGGCTAGAAGTGAACCCATGGGAAAAGGCTAGCTGTGGGTTGTCTTAAAGGGCTCTCCCGGAAAAGTCAACTGTGGGGAGTGAAATAACTCCAATGGAGAAATGGACTCAAAATCCAGGGCTGGTAGAGTTTTACCAAGGCAAATACACCTGGATAAGGGAAATATCCAGAAATATCATTCTCCCAAGATCTGTAAATGCCATTTTCATGGTATTTTCCTTTTCATTTATGTTTTTAATTTATTTTCAAAATTGTATTCTTATATTATTTTTCTTATATTTGTATTTTTGTCTGCTTTTTGGTTATAGAAATGCCTATTTGGACCTGTCCACTATTCTTCTTGACTAGAGTAGAATTGATTAGAAGGTCTGTTTATTAATCTTTCCCAAAATTAGTATTATTTCATGGATCAGCTGTAAGTAAAATATTCTATTTCATTCACACTGCTTTTACTTTTATTATCTTACCTCCTAATATCTGGAGTTAACTTTTCCTAACTTTTGGGGAGATAGATAGATATCTCCAAGCTTATTTTTTTAAGGCTATGAACGTCACTCCAAATTTTGGTTAGGTTGCATCTCATAGGTTTTACTATATGTTCTTACAACTATCATATAGTTCTTAGTATTGTAAATGCTATATTAGCAAGTCATTTGGAAGTGCATTATTTCACAAATTGAAGGGTAGAGGAGTAGATAAATGTTATTATTTTAAATATTATTTCTTTGTGGTTATAGAAAGTGATCTATAGGGTATTAATATTTGAAACTTGTGAGAATTATTTAATGCACAATAAGTGGTTAATTTAAGTAAACATTCCAGAGGCATAGAAAAGGTTTTAAAATTCTTGAAACTCTCAGAACAATATTTCTTCCTTACATAAAAATAAAAATATATTCAATAAAGAAATTTAATAAAAATTAAAACATGTTACTTGTTTTAAACAAATTAGTTACCTTCTTGAAATTATTGCTTATTTAAATTTAACATATTCTACTTTTTATTCACAATTTCTAATGACATCACACTCTTTTGTTAAGAATTAACACTTCATCTTGCTGATTGGTATATATTTTATAGGATTTCTTTCAAAGGATGATTTCAAGTGGTAAATTCTCTTGGTCTTTCCTATGTTTAAAAATTTCTTTACTTTATAATCATCATAATCACATGTAATCATAAATAATTTGGCATAGAGAACATTTGGTTGCCAATTACTTTCTCTAAGCACTTTAGAGATATTACTGTGTTTATTCTGGCTTCTTATATTGCTGGTGAGAAGTCTGAAGTCTACTCTATCTTTTCTATTTTATTGTCATTTCTCTGTAAGCACTCTATCTTCTCTATACCTGGTTTATTTAATTTAACACGGTGCCCATTTTATAATTGTTTGTAATATATATGTATGTTACTCAAATAATTTGAAAATAAGCCTTTGAGGAATGTGAGATTTAATCTTATGAAAATAATTTCTTAATCAGATCATTTTTCTTCCCAATTTTCTACTTTTGGTCCTTCACAATGTCATTGGGTTTTAGTTGTTTCCTAATGTCATTGAAGGTCGAGTTTTGTTCTATTGTTACAGTTCTTTTTTTTTCCTTTATGATTTCAAGAGTTTGTAATAGAGTAAAAATGGGCTTACTCTATCATCTTTACCAGAAGGCAAGGGTTTTTAAATGATAATGTTTGTCTGAAAATAGTGTTATGAGTTGTCTCGAACTTCATCACTTAAAAATTACATACTGGAGCACTTGGGTGGCTAAGTCAGTTGAGCGTCTGCCTTCAGCTCAGGTCATGATCTCGGGGTCCTGGGATTGAGCCCCGCATCAGTCTCCCTGCTCGGCGAGGAGTCTGTTTCTCCCTCTCCCTCTGCCTCCCCCTCCTACTTGTGCTCTCTCTCTCTCAAATAAATATATAAAATCTTTAAAAAAAATTACACATCACAATAAATAATTTAATTTAAAAACATACTGATTACAAGAGAAATTTTCTGATAAAGATGTAACAAGGTCTACAAAATCTTTAAAACAAAACTTACCTCTGCAGTCTGGTTCAGGATACCATTTCCCATTTATGCAGACTGATTGCATGTATTTGACCTCCCACAAACATCTGTAATTTATTCTGGCACTATGATTATATTCCCTCATATATGGCTTCATCAGTACTCTTGTATGAAGCATTGGTCTTTTGCAACTCTTAAGTTGGTTTGTTGCTATAAAAAATTCATATATGATAAGAATATTGAGCAGAAACTAGCAATTATTTCAATAAAACATCTAAAATATTAATGGTACAATTAAATTACGTTTGATGCCTTCAAGCAATATCACATAAAGCTGTTCTTAATTTCATTGCATGGACTATGCTGTTGAAAAAGGAAAAAGGAAACAAAAATCTGTATTCCATCTTTGAATGACAGAAAAATATGTCAAGGTCTTTTTGGGAAATGGGAGTGCAAGATGGATTAGTCTGGTCCAGGGTCTTGACTAGAAGACAGTCCTTATAAACTTCATTCAGCCTAATTTTTAAAGGCCATGAAACGGCATACATATGTGATTGTTTTCCACTAAACTATGTTAAATAAATATTCTCAAAGCATTTCAATAATAAAAAGAGGTGATGCATGAGTAAGTCTGTGGGAAGTACAGTCTTAGGAGAGAGAAATCTGGATGTCACTTGAGGTTCAATTACTCCCACATTTCAGAAGCTTAGTAAAGACCCTGACTTGATAAGGCAAAGTAAGCTCAAAGGAAGACCACCCTGATGACAACACTCAGAACAAGCATTTACAATGGGCCACTTGCTTGTCTAGGTAGTTTTTATTGCCATAATTCTTCCCTATTGTCCATAAATATATAGATCATTAATGGAACCTTTCCTGAGGGTGTCAAAGGATGGGATAATGAGACATAGATTGCTCTGCTACTTCTCCCCATTTATGTGTTTTTCTCCAGTAATCCCTATTTTTACATTTACCCTATGTGATGCTAGTGATTGGATGTCTGTATTCCCCTTATATAAAAATTGTTGACCATGAACATATCTAATTTACACCTTCTTATAACAGAGTCCAGGCTTTTGGGGTTGGAGAACATTCCCTGCAGGTCATCATGAGTGGACAGTGACCAGGTATCTGCAACAGCTACAGTTTTCATCCCCTGGAGTGGGGAGGCTGGTTGATAATCCAAAAATCTAGATGATGAAGGAAGAGAGTGGTCCTGGGTTTTCTACTTTAGAATCTTGAAGAATAGCAACAGAGTCTGCTAGTCTTTAAAGCTTAAAATTCAAGGCTCAGTAGCTGAGGACATCAGGAGAAAACTTGCAAACACTTATGCATTATGTCTGAAAGCCCAAGGACTGCTAGAATGCAGGGTGAAAGAGCAGATCACACAGGCTGGTGGACTGACAGAAAAACCTGAAATGGATTTTACTACGTCTGTGGAAGAATCATGTAGACAATCATGTAGACAAGAAAGTCTAGAATAGAGTTAAAAGAATTAGAGGCACAGGAAGAGCAGGGATCAGATCTAGTTCCTAGATCATGTATCCAACTCTTTCTCTAAGAGGAGACTCCAAACACCCCAGAACTTAATGGGACTTAGGCTATTGTTTTGGTTGTTATTTCTGGACCAGGCAGAGGTATTTTTATGAGCTAAAGCAATAAAATAAAAGAGATTAAACTGTAATTATTTATAAAAATATCCAAATTAATTATTAGAACTAATATGGCAATTCAGCAAGAATTGGGCCAATATACAAAATTAAATTATAATCTTGCATGTAGAAAGTATAACTCTCCATATATATAAATTAGTAGAAAATCTCATTTGTTTTATCAATAGAATCCCAAAGGACTTAGGGAAAAAATTTATTTAGAAATAATTTTCATGAGGTTTAATATAAGACCTGAATAAATAGATTAAAGCATTATATTTATGAGAGGAAGAATCAATAATAAATAAAATTGATTACAGTTAGCTGAATTTATAAATTTCATACAACCCCAAACAAAATTAAACCAGAATTATCAAAGAACTTGTTTTTAAAATACAGATGGATTGGGACATTTTAAAGAATAGCCAAGATGATTCTAATAATTAAGTAATAAAGGTTGTTATAATAATAATGACTTTTCCATATTAGCATAAGAATAGACAAACAGGTTAAGGGAGCAGAATAGATAATCTAGAAATAGATATATTTATAAATAGGGTACTAGTAAATGGCATATGGGGAAATAAATATTAGTAGAAAATAGAACAGACAATTCACTTAGTATTGATATAGTTTTCCACATAGAGACAAACAAAAGCACTCTGATATAATGTAAATATATCAGATAGATTAAAGAAATAAATCTTAGTAATGAGATCATAATGCTTAGAAAAAAAGGGAGTATCTTTATGCCCTAAAAAAGTAAAGGATTCTTCAACAAGATACATATACATATACAATTGAAAAAGGGAAGATTGATAAATGAGTTTAAACAAAACCTTCCAATGAAAAAGACATCATAGAAACATTACAATAAAACAAAAATACTTTAAAACATTTACAATATAATTATGAGAATATTCAGTTGAGAACTCAAATAAATCTTAAATCAGTAAGAAAGTACAAAATAAAAGAAAAATGCTCATTGCACAGAAGAGAAAATCCTAGCCTCCTACAGATACTTGTACTGATGCTCAATATTACTATTATTGAGAAAAATAAAATTAAATATGAGATAATGATTTTGACCTATCGACCTGGAAACAATTCAAAAATATTAAAATATCAAGTGGTGACAAAGAGGAGTAAGATCTCTGTATATATTTGGCAGTACCTTGTAAAGTCAAAAGTATCTACAACCCGAATCCATTAGCTCCACTTGTACGTATATACTTAAGGAAATATTGAAGCATGTCTTTTATACCAGGACAAAAATAAATAATTTCCATTTCCAGTAGGGTAATGAAGTAATAAAACAAGGTACATTCTTAAGGTAGATGACGACACAGTAAAATTACAATGTTAAAGGAAAGAGCATTTTGCAAGTAGACAGTAATTGTGTAAGTTTAGGAAAAAAACACAAAAATCTCATCCTACAGGTTTTAAAAAATAATATATGTATTACTTATATAATTTATAAATAAGTACAAATTCTACTCAATTGGGATTTCCTTCGGGAGGACGATAGGATAATGGTACTTCCCTTTTTCTTCAATGCTTTTATTTAAATGATTTATTCTATTATCTATTTGAAGCAAATAATGTAAAAAATGTAAATTCTGAATAGTGGAACATGAATTTTTTACAGCATTCTCTTTGTTTTTTCCCCATTTTTTTCAACTTTAAGCAAAAATTGAATCAAAGTACCTCAGCTATGTCTTCTCATCTAGAACCCCTCTGGGTCTACAACTTGCACAGGCTGAGGAGGAGAGAGATCAGGACGGGTTTTGAGACATTAAAAATGTCAAATAAAGCCTATAGAGACTTCCTATGTGTATGACAAAGTCTAGACCAACAGAGAGTAGAGTATAGGTATGTGAGACGAAAAAGAAAGCTGACACCAAATGGACCATGCCCCAGAGGAGGAACCTATGGAATAAAAACCCAAAATAATTGTGAAATAAGTTACTGACACAGAATCTTAATACTTTATGTAAACCTAAGTGAATGAGTACTAAGGCAGTGAATTAGAGATTGGGTCCCTACAGACGGGCCCTGCCATTCTGACACTATACAATCGAATTGGGAAGACAAGTATCTAACAGGTACAAAACAAGGTGACGTGATAAATGTACAGTCGGCACTGTCGATAGACTATCTCATTCTACTAGAGTTTTGAGATCAGAGAGTGAGTAGTGGAAAATGAACCCGGAGAGGTTTCAGAAGTGAGTAAATTTTGAGTTGAATCTTGAAGGTGAATAGTTTTACATGTGATTAAACTGGAGAAAGATAGGAGGGTTCCCCTTTCTCCGCATCCCCGCCAACATCTGTCGTTTCCTGACTTGTT